CCATCTTTGGGGGACCCGAGAAGGTTGGGGTGCTGCCACGTCCTGGGGAAGCTGGTTGTTTCATTGTAGTCCAGGCTGTATGGAACTCCCTGGCGCCTTAGACCTGGCAAGATGTTGACAGAGCAGAAGACAAGGTTAAGTTTAGAAAAAATTTTTTCTTAGGTCCTGTCATTTGAGGGGAAGATTGTAAGATGAGGGAGGGGTTCTGGTGCCTGGAACTAACTCTGTAGATGAAGAGTGCCTCAAACTCAGAGGTCTGTCTGCCTCTGCCTCTGTTGGGATTAAAGATATATGCCACCACCACCTAGCTAATACTTGTAAATCTTTAACGGGGAGGAATAGAGCTGGGCCACCAACCAGCTCCTAAATCATGACACAGAGACTTACTAGTTTTGTGCGTTGATCCTTAGCTTAGGCATGTTTCTGGCTAGCACTTTTTTTTTTTTTTTATTCAAATTACCACCAAAACCTGGTAGTCTTCATTTTTTTCCTTGGGGCTTATTACCTTTCTGAGTCCTGTATATCTTACTTTCACTGCTTATTTATCTATCTATCAGGAATCTGCCTGGCCTCTTGCCCCAGGCATGTCCCTCATTCTCTCCTCTTCCTCTTTCTTTCTTTCTTTCTTTCTTTCTTTCTTTCTTTCTTTCTTCCCAAGCTTATCTTTATCTTCGTATTTATTCTCTCTACCTGGAAACACTGCCTATCCCTCTCCTGCCAAGCTATGGCTATTCAGCTTTTTATTAGACTAATCAGGTGCCCAAGGCAGGCAAAGTAAAACAGATGCAACACATCTTTACATAATTAAACACACATCCTTACATCATTAAACAAATGCAGCATGAAATCGAGAACCCACAAAAGTCTAATAACCAATTTATTAAGGGGTGCAAGGAAAAGATAAACTCACAAATACAGAACAAAGCAGGCTCTGCTGCTGGTCCAGCTGTCCTGTCCAGGGATGAGGAGCACCTCTCTGCTACTTGCTCCAGCTCCCACCGCGCCAAGAGAGCTCGCCCTACTACTTGCTGCCTCAAAAGTCATTGGCTAAATGGATGGAAATCCCACAAGATGGCATAAACAAAAGTCACACACCTTTATACAGTCAGTCACATTCTGCAGCACATATACAGTGTGGCACTTCTTTGCCAGTTACAATAATATTCCACAACAGGGATGTAGGTCAGTTATTACTGTGCTTCCCTGGTGTCCTTGAGGCTCCAGGTTCCTTCCCCAGCACCACATAAAGCAGAAGGTAGAAGGAAAGATCAGAAGTTCAAGGTTATCCTCTGCTCATCAGAGAAAATAAAACGGAAATGAAACAGGTGAGAACTGGGCGATTGCCGATTTTCTTGTGGGATCCACAAGGCATGGAATCACAGCCTGAATGACGGCTCAGCTGACAGGACCCTGCAGTCTGGGCAGCTGAGTCTGACACCCAGATGCACTTCTCACTAGCAGTGCGGTTTTAGACAAGTTACTGACTACAGTCCTCCTCACTTCCTCTGCTGCGCAATTAGGGCCATCAACAGAACACAAGTCTGGTAAATTCAGGTGTCGTATCAGAAAGTCCCCTAGATGAGACTTGTGCTCTGCAGAGCAGGGCCAGAGCTTCCTTCCCAGCTCAGCCTGCACTGCTGTGGCCCAAGCCTGCCCTCTTTGTCTGTGGAGAAGAACAGGGATGGCCAAAACCCACCCTTGAACTGAAATGGATCTTTGGTTTTATTCTAATTTGGGTTGTTCTGATTGAACATAACTGGCCATGGGCTAAGTGGGAGGGAGGTATGCATCCTCAGGCCAACATCTACACTCGATAGCTCATAGACAACATGAGTAATAGCTTGCTATAATGTAGAAAAGAACCTCCAGAATTAGACAAATACGGATGAGACATTATTACTGTGTCATAATTTATTTAACTTAATAGGTAATACTTCTGGCAACAGAAGTTGTAATAATGTTTGTACACGCTAGTCATTTATGAATCAGACCCACTCATTGAAACACCTTCACAAAGTCTCCCCAAGTCCTTTCTCTACTAAGAGATGACCATTGTGAAAAATTGTAAGATGAGTTGGGCATGGTGGCCCCATGTTTAATCCCACCAGAGGCAGAGAGGCAGGCAAATTTGCAACCAGTCTGAACTATGTGAAACCAGTCTCAAAAAAAAAAAAAAAATGCAGGCTGGGGGTGTGGCTTAGTAGTTTGGTGCTTGGGTGATCAGTAAGCCTAGACCCAACCCTAAACATTGCCAGAATGGAAGAGAGTAGGAGAGAGAATGAGAACTAGGCACAGGCATTTACACAGGGAAAGATGAAATTTCATCTGAGCTGTTTCTCTAAAATACTGTAACAGCTACATACAGATAGCAAACTCGTACTGACTCACCCGCTCCCACTCAGCTGCAGAGAACTACTGTGTTGGCACACAAATACCACAACACACTGCTCTTGCTCTAAAATATTGACATGCTCCATCACATATCCACATGGAGTGACACATGGTCTCATCCATCAAAACCACGACATACAGACATAGACATAGGGACACCCAGCAATTTTCAGGCGGTATATACAAACATGGGAACATAGACAGGGTGCTGCCCTTGCAAATTCATTCCTATAGCATGCAGCAGACATATATTGCCACGTGATGTGGTTTCTAATCTTCCCATCCCAACCCCCCCACCCCAGGCTATGGTTTACACGTCCAACTCAGGAGCTAAGGGAACTCAATTCTCGTCTGGATGTCATTCAGTTTTTCCTGATGCCTCAGAATCTAGACACGGCTCAGACAATGCATCGTCTCCTGAGCCACATCAAGAATGTGCCTGTGAGCCCAGGGCGAAGGATGGGGCAGGGGGTGGATGAGGCTGAGAGTCCAGGGTGGAGGTGGGGGGGTGGGGCTGATGGCTTATAGAAAACTTTGGGCTTCTTATTTTTATGTTATTAAATTTTAGTTTATTTGTTTTGGATAGGGTCTTACCATGTAACCGTGTATGGCCTGGAGCTCATGGGGATCCTGTAGGGAGACACCGAAACCACGCCTCCTAAGGGCTGGCTACAGGTGTGCCTGACCACGCCTGTTGGGGCGTGGTCAAGGTGAGGTCAGGATGACTCTCGTTAGGTTTTTTTTTTTTTTAATTCTTTTTTTTTCTTCTTTTTTAAATTTTTTATTATTATTAATTCAAGTTAGGGAACAGCGTTAGGTTCTTAAGGGGCTGCAAGTACATGGGGGCCCTTCTCTCCGGCCTGGCTGCCTTGCTGCCCCTGGCACTCTCTGGCTTGCGTTTGGCTGGTGTTTATCTGAATAAAGATATCTTAACCTTACTGACTACAGATCGTAATAGGATCCACCTACCTTTGTCTCCCAAGTGATGGGATTAAAGTTGTGCACCATCACACCTGACTATTTATCTTTGAGACAGGGTCTCTATGTAGTCCTAGCTGACGTGGAACTTGGTATGTAGACCAGGCTGGCTTTTAACTCAGAGATCCACCTGCCTCCCAAGTGCTGTGATTAAAGTGTGGCCACTACTGCCCCGTCTAGGATTTATATTATTTCTAATCACATGTATGTATAGCATGTTTGCGTTTGAGGCCAGCCTGGTCTACATAGTGAGTTCCAGTTCAGTCAGAGCTAGGTAAAGAGACCTTGTCTGGGTTGTCTGGGGTTGGGGGGAGATCAGGTGGCCCTGTGTGGAATATTTGCATGTGAGTATGGGTGACTGCAGAGTCCAGAATAGGATGGTGGGTCCCCTAAAGCTAGAGTTATGGGTGTTTGTGAACCTCCTGCTGTGGACACTGGGGACCAAACCCGGGTCCTCTGGACTGCGGGCCTCTTGAGAGGTGTCAGATGGCAAATGGCAAACCATGGCTGTCCCTTTGTCTGTTTGTAGCTGATTCTGAAGCGCATGAAACTGTCCCACACCAAGGTCAGTGACTGGCAGGTCCTCTACAAGGTAAGGCCTCTCTCTTAGGATCCCCCTGCCCCTTCTCCTGTGTTCTAGGGCTGCAGGCTCCCCTTCTTAGGCTTCAAACCCTGTGTACAGGCCAACTCCGCTCTGGAAACACTGCCACGCTTCACCCACTGATGTTTCTTTTAAACTTTGTGTTGCAGAAAATATCAAAAACCATAAATATTTGCAAAGAATAGTATAACTACTCCCCTTGTGCCCAACCGGTCAGTGCCAATACTCCTAACAGTCTCCTTTCCCTCTCCAGCTGTTATTTTATTTCATCCACAAATACTTTGCAGTGATTATTAAAAAGTTGGCACTGACATTACTGTTTAATATCAGAAAAATCCTGTATTATTTACCCTTCTTTCTTGCCTGCTTGCTTGTTCTTTTTAATTTTTTAGCATATATTCAATGTGCAGGAGTGTTTTCCTGCATGTATGTTTGTACAACATGTGCGTGCCTAACATGGAGAGGTTGGCAGAGGGAGTCAGATCTCCTAGATCTGTGGATGCTGGAAAAAAGCTCGGGTCCTCTACAAGAGCAGCCAGTGCTCTTAACTGCCAGCCATCTCCCCGGGATCGGTGAGGTTTGATATTAGTAGTGTAAAGAAAGTGGGACAGAAGCTAGAATTAGTGACAAATACCTTGTCTGGGTTGATATAACTAAATATTTTTACATAATTATAAAGCAAAGTAAATACCTGCTATTGTCTTAGTGCTCTGTTACTGTGAACAGACAACATGACCACAGCAACTCTTGTAAAGGAAAGCATTTAATTGGGACTGGTTTGCAGTTCTGAGGTTTAGTCCATTGTCACCATGGTGGGAAGCATGGCAAGACAGAGACAGACATGGTGCTGGAGAAGGAGCTGAGAGTTCTCCATCTGGATCCAAGGACAGCAGGAAGAAAGTGCCATTCCCTATGGGCCTCGGGGGCCATTTTCATTCAAACCACCACATTTATTTACTTTTTTTTTTTTTGAGACAGTTTCTCATGCAGCACTAGCTGTCATGGAACTCTTTATGTAGAGTTCTGGTTTACAATTTGCAGGGAATGGCCCTCCTCTGCCTTCCTTGTGAGTGTTTGGATTAAAGGCATGTGCCACCACCGCCCTGCTCTTCCTGAATTTTAAAATTTATTGTTCTATTGCTTTACTTAGTTTTTCATCTGTGAGTGTGGGTGCACACATGAGACAGTGTGCATGGCGGTGAGAGGGGACCATCAGGGCAGTTTTTTCTTTCCTCTATGTGAGCACCAGGGTTGAACTCAGGTTGCAAGGACTTGGAAACAAGTGCCTTTGTCTACTATGCCATCTTTCGGGGCTTTATTTTTTGAAGCAATTTAAGACTTAAATGTTGCAAGAATTATGGAGTTATCATGCAACCCATTTTGCCTTCCCTTAATATTAACATCCTATAATCACGAAACAATTGTGTGTGTGTGGTGTATGTGTGTGCACTAGAATTGAGCCTAGAATGTTACACATGCTTGGCAAATGGTCTATCACTGAGATAGAACTCCAGCTCTATGTCAGTCTATCAATTTTTTAAAAATTATTTCTTCTCTATTTTTGAGGCAGGATCTCACTGTGTAACCCTGTCTGTCCTGGAACTTGCTATGTAGACTAGGCCAATCAGATTTGTAGAGCTCTTTCTGTCTCTGCTTCCTAAGCACTGGTGTTTGCTTCTTTGGTTGGTTACTTTTGAGACAGGGTCTCAAAATATAGCCCAAGCTAGCCTCAGATGCACTAATATAGCCCAGGGTAGCCTCACATGCACTAATATAGCCCAGGGTAGCCTCAGGTGCACTAATATAGCCCAGGGTAGCCTCAGGTGCACTCAGGTGCCATCCAAGCTGATGTGGAACTTGTGATCCACCTTCTTCATCTTCCAGAGAACTGGGATTACAACTTGTGCCACCACACCCAACTGAGACCTTGTCCTCTCCCCCCAAACAAAAGAAGCTTAAGGCTAGCCTGGGCTAACGAGTGAGTTAGAGAGCTGTGTGGGCAACTTTGTGGTATCTTATCTCAGCATAAACAAAGGTGGGGGTCACAGCTGAGCATTGGAGCACTCACTGTGAGGACCTTGAGTCCTGGGTTCAATTTGAGAGAGACAATGAGGGGGCGGGGCTACACACCTGGTTCAAGCCCAGTCCATCTGTGCTGAGTTTATTTATTGAGAGGACCACTCTGAGGAAGCAATGAAGTGAATGCACGTGGGAAACTAAACATTTCCCGGCAGGCACAAAAGCCTGCGTCGCTTCCTCCTCAGTTCACTTGTGCTGTCCCTGCTCACACAGGACTTTTGAGTTTATTCAAGACCCATCACATCTCCTTTTCTCTGAAAGGCTTTCCCAAACTGTTTCAGGCCCTGTTAGTCTTGTTTTCTGAAACCCTCAATTCCTTTGTCTGTGTACAGCTCATTTTGTTGGCTTGATCAGGAACCACTGTTTCTGCCACTTGCAGCTTATACAGCTCTTTTCCGGAGCGAGAGCCTGCCGCTTAGGGTTCTGTCCATAGGTTTCAGCTGTGATTAGAGCAGCGGCTCAGCCACTGACCTCACCTTGGCTCTCAAGGACTCCAAGCCCCGCTCTCTCCGGGCCCTGTGCTGTAGCTGCCGCTTCTTTCTTTTTTAGCTCCTTAAAAATGTTTATTTGGCCAGGCAGTTGTGACACACACCTTTAACCCCAGCACTCAGGAGACAGAGGTGGATGGATCTCTGAGTTTGAGGCCAGCCTGGTCTACAGAATGAGTTCCAGGACATCTGGAGATACACACAGAAACATTGTCTCAAAAAACAAAACAAGAAATATTCATTTATTGTTTGTTTGCTGTATGTCTGTGCTAGCATGTACCATGACTTTCATGTGGAAACTGGAATACAACCTGAGAGACTCCCTCCTTCTAACACCTGGGTCTGGGAAAGGAACTCAGGCTGTCAGGCTTAGCAGCTCCCACCTTTCCTTGCTGAGGCACCTCCCTGGTCCTTTTCTCTTGACTTTTATTCCTGTTTCTCTCTTGTCCTCCTCTTACACAAGTTCTCTTCTCTCTCTAGTTTTATGTGTGCCTCGCTGTGTGTCTGTCTGTGCTTTCATCATTTCTCAGGGTTCCCCATTGCTCTTTGTTGTCAGTCTGTCTACGTCCACTCCCGCAGCTCCCCTGAGTGGGTCGCCTTCCATCTGTCCTGCAGACTGTGTACAGTGCCCTGGGCCTGAGGGATGTCTGCCGCTCCCTGCCCCAGGCCATTCAGCTTTTTCAGGACATTGCCCAAGAGTTCTCTGATGACCTGCACCACATTGCCAGCCTCATTGGGAAAGTGGTGAGAGGAAGAAAGACAGACACCTGAGGAGGAAGGAGAGGAGTGGGGTGGGGTAGAGAGAGTGGGGTGGGGTAGAGAGAGAGTGGGGTGGGGATAGAGAGAGAGTGGGGTTGGTTAGAGAGAGAGTGGGGTGGGTTAGAGAGAGTGGGGTGGGGATAGAGAGTGGGGTGGGGTAGAGAGAGTGGGGTGGGGTAGAGAGTGGGGTGGGGTAGAGAGAGAGTGGGGTGGGATAGAGAGAGAGTGGGGTGGGGTAGAGAGAGTGGGGTGGGTCAGGGGTCTGGAGAATGTGGTGTGGGAGGCGAGGACGCTGGAGAGATCTGGGGTAGAGAGAGGAAGTGTGTGGATGTTAGGATTAAAGAAACAGTCGGGGAGCTGAGGACAAGACAGAGAAAGGGTGCTGGGTGCTAAGAAACTGGACTTCCCGTCTGTCTCCTCAGGTGGACTTTGAGGAAAGTCTTGCTGAAAATCGCTTCACTGTCCTCCCCAACATTGACCCGGAAATAGATTCAAGTGAGTGCTGGGCACTGGGCACGGGGGCCCTGGTGGGCCTGTCAGCCAGCCAGTGCGTCCATCTTGGCACCGGACACCAAGACCTGGAAACAGGTTTCCAGCCAGAACAAAGATCTTTCTTTGTTGTTGTTTTTGAGACAGAGCACAGGCTAGCCTCCTGTAGCACAGGCTAGCCTCAAACTCAATAGGTAGCTAAGGATGGCCTCAAAGTCCTGACCCTCCTGTCTCCACCTGTGGAGTGTCTGGATTACAGGCTTGCATCACCATGCCCAGCCAATCAGGACTTTTTCTTCATGTGGCCAGCGTTGGCCTTGAACCCCTAATCTTCCTGGGTTTGTCTACACACCTAGAAAAGCGAAGGCTGACGGGCCTCCCAAGTTTCCTCACTGAAGTTGCACAGAAGGAGCTGGACAATCTGGATGCTCGAATTCCTTCTTGTAGTGTCATCTACATCCCTCTGGTGAGCAGGGGACAGGGCGGGGCCCCTGGGGGGCTATGGCGACACTCAGCCAGCATGCCAGATCAGCAGTCTGGGGACATGAATACCTTTGTTGATTCTGGCTCTCTGAGGGAGGAGATGGAGACTCCCAGTGGTGTCTGGGCTTCCTCTGGGAAGAAGGTGTTCAGCAGGTTACACCCCGGCTCTGTCTCTTCTCTCCCCAGATCGGCTTCCTTCTTTCCATTCCCCGCTTGCCTTTTATGGTGGAGGCCAGTGACTTTGAGATTGAGGGACTAGAATTCATGGTAAATCTCTGGACCTCCTGTTGCTGGGGTTGGGGTGGGGTGGGGTGAGAGGTCAGGGATGGGGTGGGGGGGTAAAAAATCTCAAAGTCAGCACTGACCAGCTGTGGGGTCATGTCTAGCTGCAAGAGAGCTGAGACAGAGGGTAGGGTGGGGCACTGGGGGAGGAGAGGGAGACCAAGAAAGGAAAGCCATTGGGCATGGTGGTGCACAACTGTAATCCCAGCACTTGAGAGACAGAGGCAGGGGGACCTCTGTGAGTTCCAGGCCAGCCAGGACTACAGAGTGAGATTGTGTCATAAAAACCCAGAGCTCGCACCCCTTTTGCCTAGTTTCTCTCAGAGGACAAGCTGCACTATCGTAGCACGAGGACCAAGGAGCTGGACACTCTGCTGGGGGACCTGCACTGCGAGATCCGTGGTGAGCCGTGGCCGGAGGGGCGGGCAGCTCCAACAACACTCTGCTCTCTGGCTCCCTATCCCCTTCTGAATGGCTGTGGGAGTCACACTGCCTCTCTATGCCGGCAGCAGATGTAAGATCTGCTTTCGGATCTTTCCAGGGACCTCTGTGTCTCTCCTTCACTTCCCGGGAACTGACCTGAGCTCCTTTCCCAGACCAGGAGACCCTGCTGATGTACCAGCTGCAGTGCCAGGTGCTGGCTCGGGCTTCGGTCCTGACTCGGGTGTTGGACCTTGCCTCCCGCCTTGATGTCTTGCTGGCTCTTGCCAGTGCTGCCCGGGACTATGGCTATACAAGACCCCGTTACTCTCCCCGAATCCATGGAGTACGGATCAAGAATGGCAGGTGAGAACAGAGTGGGCCAGACAGACAACACAAGGGGCCCACAGGCTCCATCTTCTGGTGTGGGGTTCATCCCCTGGATCCACAGACCATGTAGTGTCTCTTCCCCTGCCACAGGCACCCCCTGATGGAACTGTGTGCACGAACCTTCGTGCCCAACTCCACAGACTGTGGCAGCAACCAAGGGAGGGTCAAAGTCATCACTGGACCCAACTCCTCAGGGAAAAGCATATACCTCAAACAGGTGAGGGCCATACAACCTAGGTGCCTCTGCTCCCTGTGTCCCTCATCCCTGAGAACTAGAGAGCCAGTTCTTCAGGACAGACCTTTTCACGGCCACAGGCCCCTTGGCCAACTCTTCAGGTCCCATGCCACTCCTCAGCATGTATTTACCCACAACCCTGAGTTTCTATCTAGAGTTCATTCTGACGTCTCTGCTCTTCGGTTACATTCTGTTACACTGTGCCCCTCTTAATCTCTCATCCACGTCTTTGGTGGAGACCCCATTTTACTTTGCCCATAGCACCAGGCTCATGTCCTGTCCCCTCCCATGTCCAGGTAGGCTTGATCACATTCATGGCCTTGGTGGGCAGCTTTGTGCCAGCAGAGGAGGCTGAAATTGGGGTAATCGATGCCATCTTCACCAGAATTCACAGCTGTGAATCCATCTCCCTCGGACTCTCCACCTTCATGATTGACCTCAACCAGGTTAAAGGGAGCAAAAGGAGGTGGGGGAGGCGGATACTCAAGTAGGAACTGTGCCCTGCCCTTGGGAACACATTCCCTTGGCTGCATGTCTTGTGTACTTGGGGCCAGGGAGCACCCAGGTCAGAGTCTGGAGGAAGCAACATTTCTGGAGACTCCTTTGTGTGACTCCTTCACTGCTGCCAAACGAAGACTGAGCAAATAAGAGTGTTGCTCTTAAAAAGCTTTAGGAGGGAGAAGAGTCTGTTCACAGCGACACACCAGAAACCTTGAAAGCTAAGGAAACTCCCTTGTTCATTTGGTGCCCAGCAGGTGGCAAAAGCCGTGAATAACGCCACCGAGCAGTCACTGGTCCTTATTGATGAATTTGGGAAGGGCACCAACACGGTGAGGAGGAAAATGGAAGATGACAGGGGAATGGAGGGTGAAGGGACAGGGCAGGTACAGAGAGGGAGGGGGGCAGGTACAGAGGAGCAGGAGCTCAGAGAGAGAAGGAGGGGGGCAGGTACAGAGGGACAGGGCAGGTACAGAGAAGGAGGGGGGCAGGTACAGAGGGGCAGGAGCTGAGAGAGAGAAGGAGGGGGGCAGGTACAGAGGGGCAGGAGCTGAGAGAGAGAAGGAGGGGGGCAGGTACAGAGGGGCAGGAGCTGAGAGAGAGAAGGAGGGGGGCAGGTATAGAGGGGCAGGAGCTGAGAGAGAGAAGGAGGGGGCAGGTACAGAGGGCACTCTGGATCTCTCCCCTCACCTTTGCCCTCTGGCAGGTGGACGGGCTGGCACTTCTGGCTGCTGTGCTTCGACACTGGCTAGCTCTGGGACCCCGCTGCCCCCACATCTTTGTGGCCACCAACTTCCTGAGCCTCGTTCAGCTGCAGCTGCTGCCACAAGGGCCCCTGGTGCAGTATTTGGTGAGGAAGTCACTCTAGCCGGTGGCCTTTCCCCTTCTCAGGCCCAGGTGAGCCCCACACTGTCATTGTCTGTTCTTTTAAGACCATGGAGACCTGTGAGGATGGAGACGACCTTGTCTTCTTCTACCAGCTTTGCCAAGGTGTTGCCAGTGCCAGCCACGCTTCCTACACAGCTGCCCAGGCTGGGCTCCCTGAGCAGCTCATTGCTCGAGGCAAAGAGGTGATGAGGGCTTGTGTGCAGCCCCCTCCACCCCGGGGCTCCCTTGTAGCACACCTGTTCCTCTTCAAGCAGTTTGTTTTTAAGATTTATGTATCTGGCTGGGCAATGGTGGCACACACACCTTTAATCTCAGCACCCAGGCAGCAGAGGCAGGTGGATCTCTGAGAGTTCAGGGTCAGCCTGGTCTACAGAGCGAGTGCCAGGACAGCTTGCTCTACACAGAGAAACCCTGTCTCAAAAAACCAAACCAACAACAACAAAAAGATTTATGTATCTGCACATGTGTTTTCCCTGCATTTGTGTCTGTGCCTAGTTCCTGTGGAGGTCAGAAGAGGGCATCAGATCTCAGGAAACTGGAGTAGATAGTTGTGAGTTGCCATGTGGGTGCTGGGAATTGAACCTGGGTCTTCTGTGAGAGCAGCCAGTGTTCTTAACCACTGAGCATCTCCGCACCCTTTCACCTGCACCTCTTGAGGAGCTGGACTTGTAGGTCCACAGGGCTCCTGACCCTCATTTCCCCTCTCCCTGGGAGCCCACCAGCTCTCCCGCCTTCCTTCCTGTGCTAGGTCTCAGACTTGATGCGCCGCAGGAAACCCATCAGACCCGCCAATGAGCTTCTCAGGAGGAGCCAGGTGGAAAAGTAAGTGTTGCTCCTCCCCCAGTACTTCCCTCCACAGGGCCTCAGCCAGCCTGCCTGCAGCCCTGTGCCCTTCCCCTCACCAAGCCAGGTGTGGTGGCACAAGCCTGTAATCCCAGTGTTCAAGGCCAGCCTGAGCTACACAGCAAGACCGTGTCAGAAAATGACAAAACCGACACAGTATCCAAGGCTGCTTTCTGAAACCCTCAGCTCTTCTACGCAGACCCAGAAACCGCATGGTTCTTTCTCCCCTGCAGTTGCCAGGCACTGGTGCATAAGTTTCTGAAACTGGATCTGGAAGATCCCACCCTGGACCTGGGCATTTTTATGAGTCAGGAAGTGCTGCCAGCTGCCACCACCATCCTGTGAGAGCCCTTTCTCCACCCTCTCAGCTGCCCGGCACCCGAGACCACCACGCTGCTGCTCCCTTTTCTTTCCATGCAGAGTTCTCAGTCTGCACGCTTTGTTTTGTACTAGGAATAAAGTTTATTTTGGATCAGAATCCTTCCAAGGGTCACCTGACAGGACACTGAGAGAGCTGGGGCAGGGAGCAGTCCTTCAGAAACACAGTGACACTTGGCTGGGGTGCTCAGTGGTTAGTAGCACTGGCAGCACTTGCAGAAGTGGGTTTGGTTCCAGACATCACATGGTGGCTTACATCCATCTGCAGCTCCTGTCCCAAGGGACCCCTCACCTCTTCTGGTCCCCATGGGCTTGGGACACATGTGACGCACAGAAACACACTCACACACACAAATTCAGTCAGGTATGGTGGCGTACACCTTTAATCCCAATACTTGGATGGCAGAGACAGGCAGATGTTTGAGTTTGAGGCCAGCCTGGTCTATATAGTGAGTTCTAGGCTAGCCAGGCTACATAGGAAGACCTTGTCTCATAAAAAGTAGATAAATAAAATCTAAATAAATTCAGATTCTCAGATTCTGCCCTTAGGACTCAGTGAGGACAACTACTTCAGAGAGGAAATAGTTGGAAGGTTGACATAGTACAAGGCAGGATGGGTAGAAGGCAGGGCTTGGGGAGGGACCAGGCCTGGCTCCACCCTTCCTACTTCAGAGCCATGGGGAGCCCAGGTCCTGGTGGGCCACCCCTAGTGCAAGTGCCCTACACTGTCCTGCTGCTGCCGCTGGGGACAAGCCGCCAAGACCCTGGGGCCCAGAGCTTCTTCCTCTGGGTGAGTACTAGACCAGCCCGTCTTGGGCATCCTTCTGTTCCGCAGATCTGCCCTCCATCTAGTTCTGCTCAACTCTGGGGACCCACGAGCTTTCCCTGTGTCGACACCCTTGCTGCCCAAGTCCTCAATGGCCAGTCCGAGCTCACACTTAGTGACAGAGAGTGAGCCTTTTGAGTGTGGGCCATAGGTAGGGTCCTGCTAGGAGTGAGAGTTTGGCCTGTGTTTGTCTAAGCCAGCTGCAGATGATGCAGGCTCTGGAGAGGAAACAGGATGCTCTGTGGCAGGGCCTGGAGCTGCTGGAGCACGGCCAAGCCTGGTTTGCAGACCACCTCAGGGAGGCCCAGCAACGGCAGCTGCACCTGGGGGCCCTCGGTGAGGTAGGGAGCTGCTCCTGTCCATGGCTGGGGAGGGAGAAGCAGGGAGCATGTGGACCCAGGGAGTCTGCTCTGGAGAGGGGAGGGTTAACTTAGGGCAGGGGTCATGAAGTGGATGGGCATTGGAATGACAGGATGCCAGTCTGCATTCCATCAGAGTGGGGAGTGGCCTGGGCAGCTCTCACAGGGTCGGGATGCACAGGGAGGAACAGGGCGGGGAGGGGGCAGGGTGGGAGTTTGAAGGGAGCTGCAATTTTAAAAGAGCTGGAGAGGACTGGCTTTTCCCACCTGTCTGGAAGGGTTCTGGGATGAGGGAATCAGGATAAGAAGAGTGGCCTGTCGCGAAGAAGTGGCAGGTGGGTCTGTTTCCAGCACAATGTCACCCTCCAACCCACCCAGGATTTTCTCATGGACTTTGCCTCAGAGGCTGACTCCCCACAGCTAACCCAGATCCAAAAGGTGAATGCTGGTTTGCGCAGTCTGATTCAGACGGTGAGTTCGTTGTTTTAATGTATAGACTTTGGGGAGGTGGGGGCGTCGCACTGAGTTAGCTTTCCTGTACCCACTGGCAAGGCTGGTTCCTGCATGGTCCAGGGCCAGGAGGGATGCCAAGGGATGAGAACTTGTGGTAGCAATGGGCAAGCTGAAGGCTGTGACAGACCTGGCCCTACAGGGTGGGAAGCAGGTGCCAGTCTGACTCTCTCTCTTCTAGGAGTTGTCAAAGCAGCATAAAGAAGTCACACAGTCCAAGGGAGAGGTGGCTCTGTCAGGCTGCCCCCAAGGGCAGAGGGGCCCTACCCATGTGTGAACCCTCCCCTCCCAACACCACTGAATTAGGAGCGGAGTTGGGAGAGACCCCACACACCTTAATCTTGACCTGGCAGCCAGTGGCTCTGGGCTGTGGGTCAGAGAAATTCAGACACCTTGGTATAAAGTGAACTGGAAACTCCTAAAAGTGTCCACAGCATCTTCTGGATGTCCCTACCCTCACTCTGCCCCATGCTGTGTGCAAAATCACCTTTCTGCAGTGTCTGGGAGAAGGCACCATCACTGAAACCCTCCTTCAGCTTAAATAAAACTGAGCTAAAGAAGCCACCCTGGAACCTAAAGTGACAACTCTGCTTGCTGGTACCCTGCCCTCCTGGAATAAACAGTAACTTCCAAAAACAATTTTTAAAAAAGCCTTTTGTTTGGTTCCTGTTTGGGTTAGGAAAGGCACCTCATGGGAACCCATCACCCTCCGTCCCAGTGTCTAGGCTTGTTTGGTTGATGTTGTCTTTGAGATAGCGTCTCATAGCTCAGGCAGAGTAGCAGCAGCCTCCTACTCCCCTCCCTGTTGACAGGGACTACAGGTATGGCCCACCATGCCAGTCTACTCCTTTAAGAGAGATAAGGGGCCTGGGGGGGGGGGGAGGCAGAGGTGGATTCTGATTTCCAGGACAGCCAGGGCGACACAGTGAGACCATCTCAGAAAAAGGAGGAGGATAAGGGTCAAGTGTGACAGAAGAAGAAGAATCCCCAACCCGGTCAGGAGGGGCAGGCCCTGAAGCCATGTGACCACCCCAGCTTCAGGACAGACTAAAAATGTATTCTGTGGAGCTGCCGTGTTACCAGGAAGAGCAATCGAGCAGGAACAGCACCCCTGCGACTGTTCCCCACCACGATGTACTGACCGTCCCCTCCCCAGCTCTGGCCCGAATCACTGAAGGGGAAGGGAGCGGGGTGGAGGCGGCTGGAGGGAGCACTCGGCCAGCGGAGTGGGCAGGGCTCGCCATCGGACCCTGCCGCGAACAGAAGAGAAGAGAAGAGAAGAGGGGGATTAAAGCGGGCCAGGCTTTAGCGCTGAGAGGGAAGTGGAGGCGCCTTACCTGCGAGGGCGAGGCCAGCACCAGGAGCCGGAGGAAGGCATGGGTCGGGGGCACTGGGCTGGCTCCTTGACCCAGCGCAGTCACAGTCACCATCACCACACTGTCAGGGGCTGCTGAATCTGGGACCTCCAGCCACAGACGTCCCCAGGCAGATTCGTTCAGTCCCAGGTGAGCCCTGCAGAGTGGACAGAAGGCTCCCAGTAGGCTGCAGCCAAGGGGTGGAGCCAAGCACAGGACAGAGTCGAGGGCTGAGGACCAAGAGGCTGAGGCATGGGATGAGCCTCAGCAGCCCCTGTAGAACCCAAGCAAAGGTGGAGACGGAAACTCACCTGGAGAGGTTGGAGGTGAGGGAGAAGCGAGGGTTTACAGATGTCCTAAGGTCAAGATCCTGGGGGCCAGAGAAGCTGGCCACGTGCAGGCTGAGGGGGGCCTTGCTGCCTGGGGCCAAGGAAGCTGGGGGGCCACTGAGCTGCAGGGAAGAGCAGGTCAGAACAGCCGGCTCTAGTCCCCCCAGCCCTGGCCACACTTGTCCTCACCTCGAGAAGCACTGGAGCCACAGCGCAAGGCTGGGGGGCAGTCCTGCGCAGGCCCTGGCCCCCTCCATCCTGGCCAGCAAGCTCCAGGGAGAAGGGCGCAGCAATGGACAGCAGTGTGGGTGGCAGGGAGGCAGCCAGGAGGCCTCGTTCAGGGGGTCCCACAGGCTCCAAGGGCACCCGGCCCAGATGAGTGCCCTCTGGGACCCTCCGAAGGACAACATGGGAGAAGTGTGGCTGGCCATCCTCAGGGTTGTGTCTAGAGACCAGCCCTGTCACTTCCACCAGCAGCTGGGTCTGCAGCCCTGAGGCAGAGGGAAGGACAGTGGTGTGCGTGAGGGGGAAGGTTGTATTGAAATGGAGAGGGTCATGTGAGGGGGTCACGTGACATCCACTGAGCTGGACTCTACTCATCAAACAAGACACACACATAAATGTATTCATCTACACACACACACACACACACACACACACACGTGCAGTGAACTGAACTGAGGGACGCAGGTCAGTGAACAGTCTATGTATGCTACCTGCAACTGGCTGAGTCAGGGGGTAGAGGCCAGGGTGGGGTCCGTCCTCCACAGGAATCCCGAAGTGAAAGAGGAAGTCCAGGGAAGTCTGGGCTGGGAAGGGGGGAGTCAGACACTGAGAGGACCATGGTCCCCATGGTCACCACACCCCTTCCCAGGAACCTCCTCTCCTTACCTTGCACTCTCACCCGGGGAGTTCCCTCGGCTGCTACCTGCATCTCCCAAGACCCTGTCTGAGGGGGGTCGGTCATGGTCACTGTCCAGAACTGTCCAAAGCGACGGGTGTGACCCAGAGGACCTATGCCTTCCTCCGGGCCCTGGGACACCCCTGGGATGGGGGACAAGAGACTGTCACATGAAACGATTCTTGTCTCTGTGTAGGCCCCTTGTTCTGCACTCTTGATTTTCCTGTCTGCCTCGAAACGCACATTACGGTACCTGCAGGGCTCTTAATCCAGAAGCTACTGATGTCCCCATGTATCCGGACTGTGACCTGCCGGAGCAGCCTGTCTACAGTAAACACACAAGTCTCCCCAGGGGCGAAGACAGGAGGCTCCAGGGGAAGAGTCACCTGGAGATATGAGCAGGACCAAAGTGGAGAAGAGGAGGAGGCATGGGCTGAGGTGGGAAAAGGAAAGAGGGAAATGCAGAGGCTGGGCCTCACCCAGGGAGGGGTCCGTCAGCAGAGCACTGGACCAGGGACAATGCTACTGTGCTTGGTGACACAATTGGAGATGAGGAATTCAGAGTGAGGCCAGTATTTCTTGTTCCCCCTTCAAAGATGAGGAATGGCTGAGTACCGTGGTGCATGCTTTTAGTCCCAGCACTTGGGAGGCAGAGGCAGGCAGATCTCTGTGAGTTCAAGTTCAAGGCCAATCTGGTCCACACAGTGAATCACAGGCCAGGCCAGCCAGGACAACATAGTAAGACCTTGTCTCAAAAACAAAACTAAAAACAAAATTTCTTGCCTCAGCCTCGGAGACGGAGGTGGAGGGCAGGCAGGCAGTTACTGACAAAAGGCAAGGTGGAAGGTGGAAGCCATGGATCTGGGGTTGGGGGTGAGATGGGGACACATGAGAATGACGACTTCCCTCCCTGACCTTCTGTCAGAACCCCTTCTCCTCTAAGGAGACATGCAGGGTCTCAGACCTCAGATCTGGCCTGTACTCACTCACCAGACCAGCCATGCTCTCCCCAACAATGGCTGCCACATCCTGAATGTGCTGGTCTTTGGTGAAGATCACCTCTCCTCCCGATGCCAAGGCAATTGCCTCATATGGCTCAAAACGCAAAGGAGACAAGACCTCTCGCCGCACTCGCCCCTGAACCCTCGATGGGTCTTCAGTCACTAGGAATGTCACCTGTGGCCAAATGACAACCCAATGTTTGCAGTTTCCAAAAAGCAAGCACTCTTTCTCCTCGGACACCACCTCAGCTGTGCTTTCTCCAGAGCTGTGTGTGCCCCACCCCCTGCTGATGCTGTGGGTGGGGCCTCCCTGTGACACAGCCCTTGGAAGAAAGGTACTGCAAGTAAGTCTGGATGGTCCATTTCCCAGTTTTGGTTTTAATTCTGTTTTTATATTGCAATTTATTTTTTCTTGTGTACAATCCTGGGGATTGAGCCCAGGGCCTCAGTGTAAATACCACTGAGCTACAGCTCACTTTTGTTTGCCCAGTGTAGAGGGTGCAAAGTCCTTGTGCTGACAGCTAAGCACTAGGGAAACCAGGAATGCTAAACACTCAGGGTGTCTCTTCAATGGAAGAGATGTATGTATATCTGCCTGCAAAGTGTGAGTGACATCGTTAATAGCCTGGGGTCTGTGCTACCTGTAGGGCCAGGCCTCACCTGAGTCCTCCAGACTGTTACGTTTATCCCAGGGCTCCTCCTCCCGTGGCCTTTATCCCGAGCACTGTTTCAATAGAACCCATCCTTATGGAAAAGGTCATTTGTACTTTGTAGTTTTGTTGTGATAATGGTTACCAGGAAACTTTTTTCCAAGGTTGTACTGCACATACATATGCCTAGAGTAAACTGCCAGGGGTCAGACTCTAGAAGTTTGAGCCAACACCGACTGGCTACCTTCTTGCCTCAGGTAGACAGTGTCTCTGCTGGCTCTGGTGTCTGCAGAGACCACACAGCCCAGTTCTTTGAATGGCTTATTGGACCTGTTCAATATTGAACAGTTCAGTATTGCTAAGGGGATGGACCCGCCCCCCCCCCACACACACACTGGAGTTTGTTAAAGGTTCGGGGCAACCTTACACGAAACGACCATCTTTCCCATCTTTGGGTAGTTAATGCTGCTCTATGCTCACCCTGCAGCGCCGTTCCCGAGTCAGGGATTCTACCCGGTTGGTAAGAAAGGTGTCCTTGGGGGAGGCATCAGTGAAGACAAAGATGTCTGAGAGGGGTGGTGTGTGCATCAGGGCTAGCTGGTCAGGAAGAAAAGGCTGACATTAAAAATGGTGACAGAGGGGAGTGGGTGGGACCAGGGAGGGCAGAGCACAGGGGGCCCTGGAAGGAAGCAGGTGGAACTAGGAGCCTGGGACAACAGGGGAGGGGGTTCTAGCTCTGGCTCCCCCTGGTGGCAGGGCCTGGAAGGGCAGGATAAGAGGGAAAGGGAGGGGTAGGAAAGGGAGCCAACGGACCTCCAGGGCAGACAGGCACATCTCAGGCTCATCTCCACCCCCCAAGGCATGGATCTCATTGAGTTTCTGCCAGAAGCTGTCAGGGTCACTGGTTGTAAAGACAGGGCCGAACCCTGGGCAGGGGGGAAGGAAGGTCAGTTAAGTGAGGGAGACATGAGCCACAGTGTGGACACTGGTCCCCAAACTCAAGCCCTCTGCAAGAATAGCAAATGCTCTTAACTGCTGAACTGTTGCTCCAGCCCCACTTTTAAAATTTAATGAGAATAAAAAAGTTCTCACCGGGGAGGCTCATTGGGAGAACTGAGTGAGCGGGTGAATTTGTAAACCTTACAAGCTGACTAGACAGTACTGATACAGTGTTACTCCAGTGAGCAGGTGCATTTGTAAACCTCACAAGCTGACTAGACACAGCACTGATACAGTGTTGCTTCAGGCATCCACGAAGCAGGGGGTTAACTCACGAACACGTAAGACACATCAGACTCAAGCCTTCCCCTGAAGGAATTCTCAGTCCAGTAGGATACACCAGGTACGAGCCCGTTTTAGATGATAATTAGCTGGCCTGTCCAAGGTGCGGTGAGACTCGTAGT